CACTCGCTGCAAGCCAGACGCCTGCTCGATTAGTTTAGGGGTCTGAATAATTCGTCGCAGTATCCCTTTCTAGTCCCTAGACATGAAGACAACGTTGCATACGAAGTTGTCTTTGATGGTTCTGATCCTTCACCTAAACCCTGTAAAGCCTCAAGCACCCGAAAGCCTAAACCCACGAAGCCCTCAAGCCCAAAACGCCCCAGCCCAGCGTGGCGCTAGGGGTCTCAGAGCTGCATGGGCTTTAGGGTTTCGGGGTTGGGCTTAGGGCTTAGGGAAGTTAGTGTTTAGAGGCCGATTAGCGCCCAAGCTAGGAAGCCCACAATGATCCTAGACCCCCAGACCTCGAACAGCAAAGCTTCGAAGCCTTCAAACCGGATTTTGGGTTTCCTTAAACCCTAAAACCTAAAGCCTGTGGTCGAACCAAACTCTGCAGAATTCAGCGAAGAGCTTTGTGATGCCCAGTTCACTCAGTTGAAGTTAGCTGAACCTCGGCGTTGCCCCAAAACCGAAAAGCCTAAGCTGAAGTGACCTTAAACCCTGGACCCGGTACGCCCGAAGCGTGCTGCCGGTCTAAGGCTGCAGAAAGGCCTGAGCCTCACCTTCTAATGTAGGGGGCCTAAATAATTACCTTTAGGGTTTCAGGGTCTTATCATGATACTAATGGGCCCCAAAACCCTATTCTAATTATGAAGGCCCCTACGTTGCATTGCTGATTCGCGGCTCCTCGATAGGGTTTGCGGAAAGTTTGGATACTGCAGATACCTTTGTGAAGTTATGGGTCCTTATTATGACCGGGAATCCGATTAGCTAGGACCTGGGACCCATCTTCCTGTCCCGTTTTTTGGCAAACTCTCCGGCGGCCTCACTGTGAAAAGATTCCTGCCCGAAGGTATGGCCTGGGAATCTCTGCAGATAAGCCTCGCCTCAAGCTCAGCTTCTGCAGTGGCAGTGCATGACATGGGCTTAACGTAGAAGCCTGAACAACTAGTACCTGCTACAGATTTTCCTCAGTCTAACTTGGCCCAACACGGCACATGCAGTATCGCATGGTAGAGGAATCATCCAAGGCAGGCAATGCAACCTTGGGTGTTTCTATGTTGTAGCTTGTAATGTAGAAACCCAAATAATTGTAAATATTACTCCTTAGGGTTCCTTATTGTAAGTATAGCATTGAGGAGCCCAAAAGCCTATTCTACTTATTAAGGCCCCTACATTCACCTCGCAATCACGGTCATGTGTGGAAGCCTTCGACCACCCTCCGGTGCTATGATTTCTCCGGTGCTCAAGACATCGTAGAAAGAGACGGTCTTGAGGGTTTAGGGTTTAGGGTTTCATGTGAGGTTACAGAGAAGATTTTGCAGTCTGCCCAGCCCAGCGTTACTGTCCAGAGTTTAGGAGTCTGGCAAGTTGTTATCTTTGGTTGCCGTAGCTGAATTCCCAGCAGCATTGTTCCCACTAGCCTCCGGGCGCCTTGAGCCCTTTTTGTTTTGCGGCCACTAATTCACGCAATGGGTCCCGAAGAGGAGCTCGCCATACGCCAAGCCGTGCAAGAGGCCTCTGCATCCTGGGTATCTCAGCTACAGGAAGTCCTGAAGCAGGCTGCTCGACGGCACTGTAGAAAACTTGGTCATGTCTGCTTATTATAGATCCTCAATGTACTACACTTACTACACCTCCTGAATATTTTTGGGGGCCCTTGCATTGCTGCCCAGGCCGTCGGCGATGCCTTGCGCGAAGCTTTGCCGACGGAGCTGCGCAAGGCCCTGTCGCCAGAGCTGGCCACGCTGAGGGAGGAGCTGCGGAGCCACGTCTCTTTGGCTTCGCCTCCCTCGCCTTCAGGCGCACACAAAATGGAAAACCTCCAGAACATCACAAGCTTGCGTCGGCGCAGCTCCATGCTTCCTTCTGCCAAGCTCATCGCCGCCTTTCAGCCGAAGGGACACGGGCCGGGGATGCAGAAGGTACGGACGGGATCCGTGTCGAATGTCGACAGCTTAGACGTGGAGCCGACTCGGTCCATCCCGGTGAGACATTCCCGCACAGAATCGATCCCCAAGGCCAAGTTGGAGAGTATTCTTGCGGGACGTTTGAAGTCGACTGAAGACAACACGACAGAGCCTTTGCCGGCCCCACACTCGGCAAGTCCTGTGCCCGTAGATCTCAGTCTCCAGGAAGCACCTATTCTGGAGCAAGCCAGCGAAGACTACATGCAGATCGACAGAAGCGGAAGCGGACTTGATATGAGCGAAAGGTCTAAGGAAGATGAGGAGGACGAGGAGGCGGAGGGGAGCGTAGACACCTTGGCGATGGCACCAGGCCAACCCGGGACACTTCGGAATCCGAGTATGTCGATCCTTCCAGATTTCCTGGACACGCCACGGTTACGGTTGCAGGAGCAGCAAGGCACGCCACGGAAAGACTGGAGGCAGACTCTCCGAAACTCGGGCGTTCAGAGGTGAAGTACCCGTTTCATTGTTCTTTACGTTGGGGGAGAGTGTATTGAATACAGCATCCTGTGGGCAAAAAGGTCGTTACCCTTTCTATTTGGGATGCTTCGCGAACCCTAAACCCCAAGCCTGGACCCCTAAACCCTAAACACCTTAAGCCCTAAACCCAAAAAACCCTAAACTCTAAGCCCTACAGGGGGGAACCGAGGAAACCTCCTGATGCCCTTCAAGGCGCCTGCCCAGGAGCCTCCTCGCGAGGCGAGCAAGGTGAGGGGGCTTCTTCTCAAGAAGCATGACCACGGGTGGCACTTTGGGAAGCTGTTTGGGTTTAGGGTTTGCAACTACCGTGGCACTTTGGGAAGCTGTTTAGGGCTTAATTAGGGTTTAGGGCACGGTAGGTAGGAATTTGGGAAGCTGCTTTTGTGATTTGGCCTTAGACGTGGGTGCCAGCACCTGCTCAGGTCAAGCCCCCAAACCTCTAGACCCTAAACCCGAGTGTGGTCCTTTATTCGGCCTCTTCATACATTTTTTTGAGGGGGCCAACGACTGAGAGGAATATGGGGGCCTGAGGAACTGTGGTGTTTCTTTATAGTCCCAATGCCCCAAACAGCGAAAGACCAAACCAGAAACAAGCCACTATGACCGGAAAGTCGCGACCAATGTCACGTGCGAACGGGCCTGAGTTGCTTGCATGGGAAAGCACAGGTCGCAACTAGTTGCCCTCTGTGTTTTCCCAGCATTTACGCCATGCTACCGACGAGCACTGCGACCAGGACGACCAGGACGACAACGACCGGGCAGCGAGAAAGAGAGCACCATACTGCCAGGCACTGCCAGGAGCCATCAGAAGACCCCAGAGCAGGAGACCAACAGGACGGCTCCCAAAATGTTCTCCCAAAGGACTGGCACAGAACCACGCAGCGAAAGCCTTCCCCGAAGTACTGGCGGGATTCAGAAACATTCAGAGCACACCGGACTCGCTTTCCCGGAAGTACTGGCGTCTTCAGGGCCAGCGCGAAAGTGCCTTCCCGTTTTCCTCTTCCCCTCTTAGCTTGCAGGATCCACAACACTCGCACTCGTTTCCCCTAGTACTGCAGCGATTCGAAGTTTTCAGCGTCAAAAACTGGTCCATGCATTAAGCTTTACAGTGGATCGGGCTCACCGGGGCAACACTGTAGTGTTTCCACGTCCTTTTCGAAAACGTGGTGTGTAATATATAGGAACCCATATAAAGGACGCTCAGATGAACCTAATTTAAGGGGTCTCTGAGGGTGCCACCCAGGACGTGGAGGTGAAGGGAAGGCCCGGACGACGTGGTGCGGTCGTCCTGCGTGAGGCAGATGTCGTGCGGGTTCGGCATCTGGGCACTTAAAGAAGTTGAGGCTAAGAACAGTCCCAAAAAGGCCTACGTACCTATGTAGTAGAATGTAGGGTTTCTATATTTGGAATTACTACTGTGATTTGGGGAAGTATCCCCCATAACAGTAATGTGAGCTCGTGATTAGTGATGGTCCCCTAAATTGAGCTGAACTCGGCCTGCGCACAATAGTGGAAAGGTCCCCTGAATTTAGCTAAACCCGGCCTGCACGCAACAATAAACTACCGTTCAATAGTCCTAAACTCCCATCCCGCTTTCAAATCTACTGTACTATTATATTACTCTACTTGATCATTATTGTACTACTACTGTACTACTACTTTACTACTACTGTCTGCTACTGTACTGCTACTGTACTACTGCACTATTGCTGCATAAGTGACCTTCCAACATCTTAGACCCCACCCCCTCAAAAAAAAAGAATCCCTGAGGCGGAAAAAGCCCGATCATTGATCCGGATTCAGGATGATCAGGGGGGTTTATGAATCAGGAGACCACATTACATAGGAGCCTTTGGGGTATCTAGCAGAAAGTCGACCGCAACACCTGGCATGTTCAAGATTTGAATTGAATTTCGGGCGGGCTGCACTGTCTGTGACTGGTCCTATGGAACACCTCAAACTCAAGGCAGAAACCGTGGGAAGAAGGACAGGTTCGTCTTTCGTGTTGAGAAGAGGTTGCACAAACATGCCCCGACTTGCCTGCAGTTGCCGATGCGCAACAGAGTTTCTATCCCCTCTAGTGAGTGCCTGGGTAAGCCTGCAGACGGAGTAGCAGACAGTAGGCTTTAGGGTTTAGGAGGAGCTTGGCTTGTAGAAAGGGTTCTTCAGCTGGGCGTTTGTTGTTCTAAGGAAGAAGTCGCCAGGATTCTGGTAGGGTTGGGTAGTCTTCAAGGTGTTAAGGGCCTTCAGTCATAAAGGGCTCTAGTACAGTTTCGTAAGGGATTCTGAAGTTCAGTCAAATCAGACGAATCAAAGTTAAAAGCACTCGACAAGATCTCAAGGCACAGACGGTTCCCTTTCTCTCAGTGGTCCTGGCCCTTCGCTGATCCGGGGGGTCGGCCGAGACAGTACTGGGAAATCTTCGCATGCACCTTGCTATTGTTGCAGCTTCTGTACCTCGGCTCTTCTGCGGGCTTTCGGGCTTCGGATTTGGGGTTGCGGGTTTGGGATTATAAGATTTCGGGTCTATGGTTATGGGTTGCAAAGGTTCAGGCTTTGGGGTCTTGAGTCTTTTTTCAAGTTAACTGACATGTTCGATCCATTTTGCGGCATTCAAGACGACTGACACGTTCCTTTCCGCAACAAGAACAGCCCAGGTACCTCTGCTTCCAGGCTGGCTTCATTACCTTGGAAGACTACCGGGCCCAAGGTCACTGGGAGCTCAAGATGAGCTTGCTTGTTGTGGACATCTTTTGGGTCATCGATCTGGGTATCAACTTTACCACCGGCTACAGAGATGTTACGCATGTCCTCCACAGCAGTGCCCGCTCCAACGCCTGGCGCTACCTCCGGCACCCCGGCGACATGTGAATTAGGGACACTAAAAAGTCGAAACCTGGACCCCGAACGCTTAAAACCTGATGAACCCTGTAGCAGCCTTCAGAACCCGTACAAACCCTGTTAACCTCTATCTCACGTGGACCCCAGAGCCCCCAGCCAGCATGCAGAAGCAATGTTCTCCCTTAGGGTTCCCGTAGTACAGGACACCGACACCCCCAGTCAGCGCCCTATGTAAACCCCAAACCTTGAATAATACTCGAAACCATCCTAAACCCTGAAGCCCTAAACTCGAAAGAAATCCTGAATCCTTAAACCGCTAAGCCCAAAACCCGACCCGCCCCAAACAAACCCTAAACTATAAAGCATCCTAAATCATATAAAGCCTCATGAGGGGCGGCTTCGCTTTGGACCTGCTCGCCACCCTGCCCTCGCTTCTCCTGCACGTGCTCCCGGGCTTCAGGTTTAGGGTTCAGGGTGTAGAACCTGGGGTTTAGGGTTTAGGGTCTCGGGTTTAGGGTTCAGGGTTTAGGGTTCAGGGTTTAGGGTTCAGGGTTTAGGGTTCAGGGTCTAGGGTTCAGGGTTTAGGGCTTTGCATAGTTTAGGGTTTAGGGTGTCTGGAGAAGTACGCAACTGAGGATACCACAATGAGGGTTCTGGAGAGTTTATAAGGATCTCATCCCAAACAAGGTATTCACAGCGATTCAAAGATCTCAGCTGTCAGTCTTAAAGTGTCTAAAACCCAAAGCCCTAAACCCCAAACTCTGAGGAACAGAACTCTAAGCTTTGCCAGGCGAAAGGTTGGGTAGGGTTTCCAGGAACTGAACAGCAAATCTTTCCCCAAGAAGGGTTCTTGCATAGTTTTGAGGACCCATTGTCTATCCATAATAAGGGTTGCAGGGGGTGCCTCGGACTGTTTTTCAAGTCTTACCATGGTTTGTAAAGAAGCCGAAATAATTACCAACATGATTCCTTAGAGCTCCTTATGAAAATACTGTAGTAAGCCTCCAAAATGTCAAACTTTGCTGAATCTGGTTTCATCACCTTTTGTCATGTCTTGTTTTCGTTTCGTCTCAATTTGTCTTTGTTTGCTTCTACTTGTCTCCATTTGTCAGTTGGTGCCTTTCATTGCCTCTATGTGTCTCCGTTTGCCTGTATGCCGCTCAGTTGGTTGTCTTGACTATCTGTATGCGTTCATTCGCTTGCGACTTCGTGCTCTTGGTCCACACCCGCAATCGGCCTACCCCCACCCTACTGGTTCTTGTTAGCAGTTTGAACATGCTGTGTGTCGCCACCGAGAGATTTTTTGCATCTTCGAAGACATGCCTACACTTGTGGCATGACCCGAAACATCTTATTGTTGAATATCATTGAAGCTCAGGAGACATGGTTAGAATTGCGGTAGGACAGCGGGAACATCTGATTACCAGACAAGTTTCACTAATACTCGCCACCGTTTCGCGGCGGGCCCGCCCCCTTCCTCCAGGGGCAAGCAGTGGAAGAGTCCTGTGCTACCCCTCACGCTATACCGCAGATCTTCAATTCATGTTCAAGCTTTTCAATATCCTTCACTGTCTTTTGGCCTTGGCAAAGGCTCTGTAAGTTGTTTAAAGCCTTTCAAAGCTTGTAAAGAAATGTTTAAGGCGTTTGTAGTTCGAAAGTCTCTGTTTTGCTGGTTTGTGTCTTGACTTCGGCATCTTCAAGTGGTGTCTTCTGTGAGGTGTTGTCTCAACTTAAAATTGTTTGTCAAAGTTGGTCTTCATGTGCCTCTACCCGTCTTGCCTTGTCTTTGATCAGGTTTCAAACCTCGGGGTTTTAAAAGGCAGGTAGTTTCAGAGCTTTGCAAGACCCCTACTAGTAGTGACTGGAGGGAACACTTGAAGTCTCACCTGCGATTATGTTTAGAGGGTCTGATTGAGCTCTTCACGTTAGGTCTTAGCCTGTCTGTGTACTTTAGGGGTTCAAGGGTTGACATGTTCCTACAAAACAGGGTGCTTGCAGGGTTTAGGGCTTGGGGTTGAGCTCAAGTTTCAGTTGGGACAAGATCTGATCTCAGGCTGCTGGTGATCGACCCACAGGCTTACGGCTTCTGGCCGCTCAGGCTCCTTGGGGAGAAGTGGACCAGCAAAGTGCGCAAGACGAAGGTACTATGCACACAGTGCACACCCTTGCACATACATACCACATGCACGCGCGCACGCACACACACACACACATGCACTCATGTGCACACACTTGTATGTGCAAAAAGCTAGAGCCTGCATGCTTGCATGCATCCATACATTTATAGGTGCACACATGCCAACATACATACATACATACATACATACATACATACATACATACATACATACATACATACATACATACATACATACATGCTTGCACGCATACATACATCCACATGTACTGTGCATATACACATACATTTGGACATATGCGGACAGACCCCTACGACGAACGCACGCGCCCTGCGTTCCAGTCGGATGTGGAACCACTGGCGAACACTTCGGAGTTCAAGTATCCAAGAGCTCCAGTTCCAAGAGTTGAAAGCCTCCAATTAGAAGAGCTAGCCAGTTAAGAGAAGCAGCAAAAAGTCCAGAGATTTCTGGTAAAGCTTACACCTCGGACTTTGGGTTCCAGAGCCGAAATCTGTCAGGGTTTCGGTGTTTAGGGGTTAGGGCGCCGTGCTTTGCGACCAAGAGCTGAGCATGCATGAATTTCCATCTTTCATGACTCTTCCCACGATCTGAAGCTTGGACGAAGAAGATTGAAGCTTAAAGCAAACTCCAAGGCTCCACCAACTCAGCAATCTAACCGCACTGAAAGCCCTAAACCGTCACACCTTGAGCCTGAAAACCCGGCACCCTTTGCCCTGAACCTCAAAGTCTTATGAGCCTGGAATCAGAAACCCTCAACCCTCAACCCGAATCCCTGAGCCTTTCAAGACAACCCCGAGGATGATGGGCTTATCTCCTCTGCTGCGCAGCTTCCGAATTCGGGGGGCCTACACCTTACTCAAACGGCTGGAAGCCAACATGAGCCTTGCCTTGGGTTTGGGATTCAGGGTTCTGGGTTTAGGGTTTAGGATGGAACCCGCAGTAGCCCCAAAAAGGAACTACGACGGAGACTCCAAGTAGGGAAAGCTCCAATGCACGTGGGCTTTGAGTTCGGGATTATGGACCCCGGGACTATGCAGAGTAATAGCCTTATATTGTAGGAGTTGGGCCATTAATTTGCTTCATGTGGGGCCTTGATTAGAATAGGGTTTTGGGCATAATATATTATAATTATCATAAGGAACCCTCAAAACCCTATTCTAATTATTGAGGCCCCTACATTACGTCTGGGGGTTTAGGTGGAGCCAAAGTTTAAGTTGAGCCCAAGACGTCTAAACCTGAACAGTCTTCAGGGCTTTAGGGGTTTAAGATGACCCTGAACCCCCATGCCCCAAATCCGAAACCGTAAGTTTCCAATAAGTCCACAAGTCTACGCCTCGAAATCCTGAACTTTAATTCTCATTGGCATCAACAATGTAACCGAAGCTCAGACGTGAGCCTGGGCAAAAGCGCCCTTAGGCTGAGGAATAGGGTTCAGGTGGCCCTGTTCCAATTTGGTTTTATAGGTGTTGTTTTGGAGTCCCCTGCGTAAGGCTGAATGAATACTCAGTGTAGCAACCTTATAAAAAAAACAAAAAACATCAAGAAAGAACAGGAACCACGCCTAAAAGCCCTCGGCTTCAGGGCTTAGGGCCGACAGGGCCGATAGGGTTCAGGGTCTCGGGGTTTGCCCGGAAACCGGGAAGACCTAAAGAGGGTTTAGTCGTTTAGCCCTAAACCAAACTCCGGGCCCCGGCATCATGGCTTCACAAGGAGTTTAGGGTTCCAGGGTTTAGGGTTTCGGGTTTAAGGTTTGGGGTCCAAAACGTCCTTTCACTTTGCGATCTTAGGGTTTAGGGGTTTAGGGTTTAGAGGTCTAGGGTTTTAGGGTATATGGGACCAATGTGGGAGGAGTGTTTTGAATTGAGTTAAGGGGTGCCGTATTTTGGAGACCTCCGAATAAGGCTCCCTTATTAATAAGCACGTCATCACTACTGCAAATGCCTTGTAGGAAGGACCCCCTTTTTCCACAGACACCATTCCGCGTCTTTCGGCTGTGATCAGGTTACGCCAGCAAGACCTGGCCCGAAAATACGAGTCCCTGTAGTGCTGCTTTCTAAATCAGGGCCCCAGAAGTGAGATATGAGAACAACGTTGGCTTTTTGTGGAGGCCCCTCTAGAAAGTATATATAATAAGGCCATCGATATAGATTACATGTCGACCTGGTCTCCACGGAACACGACAGCAAGACCCGTGACACGGATTGCTCAGGAAGTCTTCGGTGGTTTCGTCCGCATGGTGGCTCTGTCAGCTCTTCATGCTTCCACTCGTCTTCTCGCACCTCTCCGCCTGTGCCTTGCAACGGCATGTAGGCTTCGGTATGGTTTGCCAACATTCTGGGTTTAAAATCGGGCCTCCGTACTTAGACCTGGGTGTTGGTTGTTTCGACACTACAAAAATTGTATGGCAAACCCAAAGAGGATGGTACTACCAAATATATTCGCACCATTCCAGGCCTCGAAATTGGAGCCATTTCCACCTTGGGCGCAGATGTACGCAGTGCGGGGATGAGAACGGAAGGCCTTTAGATTCTTAGATGGAGCAGCAAGAGTATCCCCTCATAGTTTGGGGCCACACTATACTACAATGGACCCTACAAAGGCCTATTCTAACATATTCTAATTATTAAGGCCCCTAGCTATTCTGCTGCCACGCACCGTCGATTCGTACCTTCCAGTGCCTCCACGCGTGGAAGCTGTCGGCATTATGTGATCCTGAGCTCAAAATAAAGTGGTACACAAAGATCAAAGGTTCAGGCTTCAGGGGCAGCTGCATCCATTTCTCTAAATCCTTCAGAAGACGCGCCTGGCACATGCCAGTTTTATTCTAGCCCTCCGGCCTACAGCGCAAAGCTCTATCAGCCCAAACACAGAAAAGCTCCTGCCATGAGCGCATGGAGCCCGAGAATCCTAAAACCCCTGAACTCTGGAGCCGTAAACGCGGAAACAGTAAAACTCGGGGCACGAAGCCCTGAAGAATCCCTGGGAACCCTGCTAGAACCCTGGAGCCCCTGAGCCCAAAAACCGAGAAAGGAATCGCGACAGAAGCCTCATGAAGAAGTCCCGACAGGATCCTCCCTAGCGGTCCTTCAAAACCCGAAAGGCTTAACCCTAAAGCTTCAGGGTGTTGGGAGAAGAGCTCTACAGGCAGCCCTTCTTAAGGGAGCCCTTCTGACAGTATTCCTTAAAGGAGCCTTCTTGGGATATTCCGTAGAGGTGCCTTATGGTCCCTCGGCTACAGCAACTTGGAAGCTGACGCGGAGACCTCCAGCTGGATTAAGCTGGGCCTGGATATCTCCAACGAGCCTCGGTGTACTCCTTGGAAACGGCTAAAAGAACGGGGTCACTGTACCGGATTGCTCTACGGGGTATTTGTAGAGGAATGTGTGTGTGTATATATATATACATATATATATATATATATGTATGCACTTACATACATACATACATACATACATACATACATACATAGATTTATTTATAATCGTGTATACAGATAGATAGATAGATAGATAGATAGATAGATAGATAGACAGATAGATAGATAGATAGATAGACGACTGATTAAATGTCAGCACTTATCTTGAAAATTCTTTGGCGTAACTATAGGACATCAGACTACAAAACCCTAACCTACGTATCAAGACCCCGATACTAGACAGTGATGGTGATTCTGTATAATCTTATTTGCAGCAACCACAGCAGCAACAGACATCGGCAATTTGTCAGAAGGGCAATTGCCGAAGCAGCAGCAGCAGCAGCAGCAGCAGCAGCAGCAGAGCAGCAGCAGCAGCAGAGCAGCAGCAACGACGACAACAACAACAACAACGACAAAGACAGCAACTGCAACAACAACGAGAAGACCATTCGAAACAACAGCAATACTGGGGATAAGGTTGGTGGTACTACTACGATTAGTAACAACAATAACGATAACAAGTGCATTGTCACAAGAGCAAGACTCGAAGTGCTTAGAAATAGAAGAATAACCGCTGAGCCCGAAACAGCCTAAGTCCCGACAGTAAGGAAAACTCGCCCCTAGCTCCGTGCGCTTTGTGACTGAGGTTAGCAGGATTTCGGGGATTCGGTTTCAGGGTTCAGGGGTCTCAGTTTCACGTGCTTCAGGGCTTTAGGCTGTTGGGTGTTTCAGGGTTTACGGCTCAAAGGCTTCAACGACTTCGGGTTTAGGGATTAGGGTTTTAGGGTTTAGGCTTCAGGATCTAGGGTTTAGGGTTTCAGTGCTCATAAGGGCTGGGGCAGTGGGATCAGGGCCGCTGTAGCACACGCAAGCTCCCAAAAACGAAGCCCTAAGCGAGACCCCGAGCTCGAAGCCCCAAGCCCAACCGCACAAAGGGGTTTAGGGTTTGGGGGTTAGGGTTTAGGGTTGACCCAACCAGACTGCAGCTTTTATAGTCGCTAGACCCTTTTCCCAGCCCTTAAAAACGAACCCTAAACCCCAATGCCCCTAACCTCTAAGCCCAAGGAGCCCGGTGCGCTGCAAGCCGTTCCTTTAGGCCAGCGGGCGCATGGATCGGGGTTTAGGGTGTAGGGGTTCAGGGCTTATGGACTTATGGATTAGAGCTAGAACGCTTTGGGTTTAGGGCTTGTAATAAGGATTAGAGTTAGGGTTCAGGGCCGTTTATGTAGGTCTTATGGATTACAGTTGGGGGGTAAATTTGGGCCGAACGGCTTAGGGTTCAGGACTGGGAAAAATAGGACCTGCGAGCTGGAGGTATAGGGTTTGGGGTCATCCCTTCAGGAGAACGCTACACCACGGCCATGTACTTTGCGATCACGGTGATGTCCACTGTCGGACTGGGAGACATCAACATGAGCCTGTCCAACGAAAGGGCCCTGCTGTGCGTCATCATGGCCACAACCAGCTTGGTTGTGGGTGTCGCAGTGAATGGAGTCGCGACGATCGTGTCCAAGCTCAGCGAGCGGACAGCAGCGAACATGGAACAGCTGGCACAGGTCTCGAAGTTCTTGAAGGTCTACAGAGTTCCCAGGGAGCTGCAGTCACGGGTTCACGATTATTTACTGCAAGTCTTCGAGAATCGGGAGCGCGAAGAGACCAAGTCCATGCTGATGGGCTGGCTGAAGAAGTCAGAAGTACTTCGGACGAAAGTGAACTTGGCTTTAACAGGAACTTGCTTGGTACAGCACCGCTGGTTGAAGCTACTTCCGCCTGAAGTTCTGGCAAATGTCTGTGACCTCTGTGACACGGAGTTTCATCCTCCACAGCAAGAGCTCATCGCCGAGGGTGCTATGGTGAAGAGCTGCTTCTACATCCGAAGTGGCTTGGTGCAAACCCGCAATCGAGTCGGGGGGCAAGCATGGGCAGCCACCTCCAGCGATGATACCGAGGAGCCTGATGTCAACCTTTGTAGCTTGACGTGTCCTGACAAGCTTGAATAAGAACCTACAGTTTACGATAGTATACGACTAGAATCTACTATTAATATGATCTACAGCAATATACGATAATAGACCATGACAATACCAAAAGCAGTTGCGCAGGAGAGCGATGAGATCCAGAAGGAAATCGAGGCGGCTGATGCAGCAAGTCCCGATGCGAGGCTGCAAGGAGGGGCCTTCATCGGAGAGTTTCGGCTCTTCTTGGGAGCTGCCAAGTCGTGGAGCAAGTAACCTTTGAACCTTTTTGTTTAGGTTCCATAATGGTATCATCAGTCCATAATTTTATTCTAGTACTATATAGTGAATCCCAAAGGTTCAGATTCAGCTTTGGATCCCATTGGATGCTGGACAAGTAAGGTGAGCCGAAGCTTGAAGACGGTTACGTGCCTTTCCTTTTGCGAGCTCATCTCCATCGACGTGTCCAAGTTCGAGTCCTTGATGAGCGAAGCGATGCCCGAGCTCTTTGACATACTTGTGATCTACGCTGCAATCGACCACGATTGTCCCAAGGCCATGCTCCACTGCCTGGAGCAGAACGGCATTTCTCCGGAGATGCCCCTGCTCTTCGGTGAGGGTGTGCTTCACCACTGCGCCAAGGTGAACGCCGCAGCTTGCGCTGAGCATCTCATGGAGGACCTTGACCAAGACGCAGCCCAGGCCCGGGATCAAGATGGCAGGACGCCAGCACAGGTGGCCGCAGCCCTAAAGCACAAGAAGACCTTCTGGGCAATGATCCAAGGCAGTGGGAGAACCAGCGTAACAGATGTCGACGTGCTACCCAGAGAGGCACGAACGGCTCGTGCCAAGAACAGCCAAACGATTGCGCTGGCACCCTCGGCATGGACGGATCGAGACGAGGAGCCGTACACAATGGCAAGGGTCCAGCAGCTCTTTGCTACCTGCAACCGAAATGGCCTCGCTGCTTCGACGGGAGAGAGCTCCAAGGACATGGAGGATTTGGTGGAAGAGCTGAACACCTGTCAGAGTGATCTTCTTGTCATGAATGTCCGGGGCGGGATGCAACAAACGCTGCTGCGGCGGGTGAGGTTAGTGAGGCTTCGCTTGCTGGCTGTCATCGACGACAACGTGCATGCATTGGTGGAGCTTACTTCGGACGCATGGCTGAGGGCACGGGATCAGAAGTTAGGGAAGCTCCCCTACCGGCGCATGCGGAAGCGCGAGACGGAGGAGGAAGCTACGAAGAACCTGATGCAAGAGCTGGGCATCTCGGTGTTTTTATTCGAAGAGGAGCTCATAGTGCCCATCGCGAAGTCATGCTATGCCGAGACGAGGACGTCCATGTCGTACCCAGGCTTGGAGACTGAATCTAGCCGGCACTTTGGAATGCTGTTCCATGTACACTACGATCTTGCAGAGGTGATTCTCTACTCATAGCCGTCATAGCCACTTCGGGGGCTTGCCAACTACGAACCCTAAACCCCTAAACCCAACAGCCGTGAACCAGGAATATGTTGTCTACGAGTCGACATGGAAGGTCCGCGCGCAGGCCTTACACCGGACAGAGGAGATTGGTCTACCGCAACTGGGTTCTTTTTAAGGAGCTTAACATGAGTCGTTCTTGAATGTTACAATGAAGCTGTTCCTCAATATCATAAGGGAATCAAGGGGAAATCAAAGGTCGTGTGGTTTTCTCTACATTCTGCCTGTAAAGGTAACTCGAATCAAAATGAGTTCTGCAAGAATCCAGGAACGGGCGGCCCTTCCAAAAGGAGTTCTGCACGGATGCTTTCCGCGTGGTCACCAGGCAGCTCTTTTGGCCGGTCCTCCTCAACTTCACTCTCAACGAATCTGGGTGTTTGCTTCAGACACTGTTTGGGGCATCAGCGGGGTTAGGGTCTTTGACATAAATAGTATGTTTGAGAAAGATCATAAGTCACAAGTTCCGTGGAGCAGCCTCAGGAAAAGCATGCTGATGAAAGGGGTGGAGAGACCAGCTGGGCTTTGAAGGGGATCTTTGGAAAACAGGCGCTGTCAGCACCTTCTTCACCAATTATGTAGTTTAGTTGGGCCCTCCATCTACCCTCTATGAGACCCTAAATACCTTTAATTTGGAACCATATATCTCTATTTGAGGGTACAAGGAGGGTCCTGGTAGTATGATGTATGAAGTGTACGAAGGCCGTATGAGAGGCCCAGCAGGACTGGGACTTCCTCGTCCCATTACGCCATTTGGTGCTTCAGTCCGTCCAAAGGACGTGGCAGAGAAGCCTATCAGCCCCAGACAGCGCAATACTCCTGAATCAAGGAATGTTACCTTACTTGCATCTTTAAATGATAAGTAGAGCCTTCCATACTTTAACGCATATGTTCCGTAATTCGGAGGTATCGGGCTCTCTGTGTCCTGTCTCTAGCGCAAGCGATTGCTGGCATCCGTTCAGCTTGAAAGCCCGGCCACCTCGGAACTGGGCGATCTTGCAAGTCTTTAGGGCTTTCAGGGTTTAGGGTCCGAAGAATCTATGGGAGGGTGCAGAGAGTGCAGCTTTGCATTTCACTAAACGGCTTCTTTTCGCAGCTAAAGCCGTGTGCAATCGCAACCGCTTTTGCACATGCTTTTCTCACCTATGGTCTCCCTTCTTGTGAGTTCCGAGGAAATGATAGTATCCTAGACAGCAAATTGGTCTGCGAAAGAAGGAACCACAATGACTATAGGTAGGTCCCAGACTTCTGGCTTTTATTGCGTTGAAGATCTTGCTCAGCTGCGGTCTGAAAGTTCGAGGATCCGGGTCAGAGTGAACGCCTTCACAGATTGAGCTTTGTAGGGCTTTAGGAGCTCATGGGTTAGCTTGTTCTCCAGGTTTAGAGGCTTACGGCCTCAGGGTTTCGGGTTTAGAGGTTTATGCATAGGTGATCTCAGAGCGCAGAGCCTCGTGGACGAAATCCTGAGGCAGGCGCCATCCCGGTCCGGGCGCCCCAAAGGGGACTGGAGTTTCAAAAGCTGAGCAAGCATCGGTATAGCAGCCTGAAGACCACTTGTAGACAATTCCTGGCGTCCGGCCAAAGACAGCAAGAGCTGCTTCACAGCCCGGGTTGCAGTGCTCATGGAGAACACGAGAACCAACTTACCTTGATAGTGGGTTAAACATCCATGTAAACCGTCTCCCGATTAGTAACAGTAGCACCTGGTAAGCTAGTGATCCGACGTTCAAGTAGCTGGGCTCTTAGACGGTGTAAGGCGACTGTCGATAAGCGGCTAAGTTTTTTGCAGACCTTAAAACTAGGCCCTTATAAACACGAAAGCCCTAAACCCTGTAACCCTAAATCCTTTAACCCTGAAGCCCTAAGCCCTTTAACCCTAAACCCTGCTGTTGAGGGGCACAGTCTGGGATTGCTGCCGCAATTGATGATCTGTGGCTCTTGAGCCTAATCTCGAGTCCTTTCCTAACCCTAAACCCCATGCCGTACATCCTAAAGTCCTAAACTCACCTAGAGTATATAGTACATATGTATATGTGTTTAAAAGTGTATAGGTTCCCACATAAACAAATACATGAAGACATAGATATATTGCATGTGTATATATATATATATGCATATATACAGATATACATACACATATACATATGTGTGTGTAGAAGCCTGAAACTATGCCTAGCGGGTTTCTTGTTATAGTTTATTCGATCCTATACTCCAAAATCCCTAAAGCCTAAACCCCAAAACCTCTAAACCCACAGCCCTAAACCTCCCCCCGTTCTTTCAGGGCCCTGGATCAGACCCCGAAGCCTTAAACCTCTTAGGGCCATGGATCCACAAAGGCCCAGGCCCGAAAATCCTAATGCCGTAAGAATCCTGAAGCCCTGGGGTTTGGAAGTATGCAGGCAGGCGTTGGTTTCGATAAGCGGAGCACCACATAAAATCTCTAAAAGTCGACAAGTCAAACAGTCGAAAAGCTTTCGGCTTTTTCAGCTTTTTCGACTTTTCGCGTTGTTCTGTGCTTTTCACACTTTTCGGCGCTTTTCGGGTTTTTGTTACCTTTCGAGTTTGTCTGCGCTTTTCGCACATATCTGCTTTTCGAATTATTGAAAATTTTTGCGTTTTCGTACGTTTCTGTACGTTTTCGGGTGTTTCGGCTTTTCGCGTTTTTCTGTGCGTTTGGAATGTTCGGTACTTGTCGGCTTCATCGATGTTTTCAGGTTTTCACATAAACGCTCCGTACCCTCGGCCGTTGTTCCAGGCGTAAAGCGCAGCGGCAAGCCCGGGGCTGGATTGCGGGGGCCGGCCAAGAGGATTGGCTGTGGAAAAATGTGAAAATGTAGGTGGGCCGAGGGCTAGGCCCTGGAGGCAGCAGCAAAACGAGTAGCAGTTAGCAGCAGTCGTTGTAGTATTGTCACTTGTCGTGGCAACTTTGCCGAATGTCAAACCATTTCGGGTTCCGCCCAAGCCACCAATAAGTAGCCAAAACAAGCATTAATTGCTGAGTTTTCGGATTAGGCGAATTCTTAAGTGAGTGTTATTTGACAAGTTTGGTTTTCCAACAAGGAACAAAAGGTAGCGAAACCATATGGAATTCTTGTTTGTTGTTCAGGTCTTAGGAGCCGCCCAGCTGCATGTTTTGCATCTAGGTCTTTCAAAGCATCCAAAAGTATAGCAGAAACATACGCAGTGTTCATTGCTCGGTTCTGGGATACTTCAGCTGATTTCCAGCAGGCTTGGGAACCGCAGACTTGCAAATGTCAGTGATTTGGTATTATCAACCCCAAACGAACGGAGCCATCCGTATTCTGGTGTATTTTTTATTCATATTTTGGGGGACCCTACAGGCAAGTTTCGATGACTTTTGAGCATGTGTGTTTGATCATTTTGGGCATCGTCGGCACACCTGCAATCAACGAAGCCATAGGCATGTTTGGTTTGACAACTTCCAATGATTTTTATCTCGTGGTTCCCATAGCACCAAGCTGGACCTATGTTTCGGGCCTGGAACCACCAAACCAAGTGTCAAGTCTGGCAGAGTTTGAAGCAATGTCGGGCTCATCCAAGAAGTAGAAGTATCCAAAACATAGATACCTTTGGCCGAGCTGGGTCTTCGGGTGAGGCGGACGCCTCGGAAGCACTTGTCTCAGTCGTGTTTGACCAGACTTATTGAGTGTGGTTTTGGATTTTTGACGTGTTCGATCGTTTTCGACATTTCGACTTCTTGACTTTTCGACTGGTAGCCTTCCGCTGTACTTTCAGACTTGTCGCGGTTTTTGACTTTGCGCAGCTGTACTTTTCGACATTTCGCTTTTGCTGTACATTTCCACGAGTTTTCGACTTTTCGAGTTTTCACTTTTGCTGTTCTTCTCGACTTTTCGCGTTTTTTCTTGACTTGGTTTCGCCGTTTCGGGTTCTCTGGTTTAGCGTGCAAAATCTTTATCCAATGCCACTTTTCTACTTGTCGCTTTTCGGCTTTTCGCGTGCCGTTTGGCATTCTCCGTTTATCTTCGCCAACAGCCACTCGCAAACACAGTTAGGGTTTAGGGTTTGGGGCCTAGGCTGCGAAGCCCCCAAACCCATAAATCCCTATAGAACCATGACAGAGACCCTTCAAGAAACCCCAAAAGAACCCGAGTAGCCTAGTGGCTTCCCAGACCCCTGAAGCCCCCAACAACCTTAAACCCTGAAGCCTTAGACCCCCCCTAAACCCTGAAACCCTAAACCTTAAACCCTGAAACCCTAAACCGTGTGTAGGGGGCGACTCAGCAACTGCCTACCTGGTGCTAGGTTTCAGGCTTGGGGTTCGGGGTTTAGGGTTTTATGGAATTTCGAGTTTTTTGGATTTAGGGAGTTTAGAGTTTAGGGTGGGGATTGAGGAGAAGGAGTGGGGGTTGAAGCACAGGGTTAGTGGTTTTGTTTTGTTGTGGTGCAGAGGGTTACTCTTGCAGACCGCGATAGGGCCATTTAATCCTCATCACTAACCTCGACCCTCCGCAAATCCAAAAAAGCGAAGCGGTTCAGGGTTTTCAGGGGTTAGGGCGTACAGAACTTCTCCGAGGTCGTGCGGCAGCCTTGTGGGGCGAATCTCCTGTGGCGATTCTCGTTTTGTTCCGGGATTCTGGAGGCCGACCCCATAAGTTAAGCTTAGACCCTAACCCTAAACCCCTATCTTCGGGGGCTTGGGGGGTTGGGGTAGGGTTGAGGCGCCCCTACACCCAAAACCCTAAACCCTAAACCCCAAACCCCTAAACCCCAAGCCCCAAAAGCTGAGCTGAATAAGATCACAGCGAGTTTCAGAGACCAGAGGATCCCTCCGCGGCTCGAAAAAGCCAGATCCGATCGGCTTGATTGCCTCATGCCACAACATAACGCAACATACCGTAATACACTATAGCATACCATGATATACTCTACTACATCGTAACATACTATAATATGCCGTCACATCCTAGAAAATACCGTAATATACTATATTCTACCGTACTGTACGAAAATTTACCTTTAATATACTAGTAGATATCGTAATATACCATAATATACAGCATATGATACTATATACCATACTATGCTGTAATATACCGTAATATACGAAAATAGACCCTACTTTACTCAATGTACTTAGAGAGATGTCGATGTTCGGAACGGCCCCTGTCCTCAGCCTTCTGACTCAATCTTGAAATGCTCGAGCCCTCAAGTGTTAGGGTTTTAGGGTTTAAGATTTTAAACCCTAAACCCCAAACCCTAAATTTTAGGGTTTGGGGGTTCAGGGTTGCTTTATCCCTGCAGCTTTAGGCTCTGATCGCAAGTTTGTGCTTGTTTGTCCACTCCAAGCTTCAATTGCGCGATGCTGGCCGCGGGCTGAGTTTTCTGGTGTAGTTGCCCGGACATCGATGCTTCAGTAGCACCTTCTGGGGCCCTTTTGGTTGTGTTGAATCTTTGACTGGAGACGTTTGAGTGTATGTCTATAGTAGAATGTGCTGCAGGGTGTCCACTCCAGGACGGAACAACACAAATCGACGCGCGACACCCCTTGCAGCCCATAACGAAGCCATCTAGGCCTTAGGCTTGAACATCCCCCGAACCCCTCTTCTCCCGCTTGCGGCCTGGAGCCTCAAAGTCTGGTGTAAGGCTCGGCTGGTCGCTCTGGCGATCACCATTGTGGATGGCACGCGGGCTGGGCTCTCGGCACACGGCTGTCAGCAAGGGAAGACGGTGCCTGCAGCGTGGGATGTCTAAAGCTGCCGGGAGAGGATGGAAAGTCAAGTTCCCTGTTCCATAAGTGTGATTTGAGGGCCAGGCCGACTGGAAGCCTGAACCCTCCTCACCTTAAAACCGCAAACCCGAGCTTCGAGCCGACACCGCACCTTCTTCAGTCCTAGCTTCCATTTTCCCCAGGTGTCTACTCAGGGGAACCTGGCCGCGGCGAAGGATCAGGACCTAGAGGGAGCCCCCTCGGGGCTCTCTCGGTAAAGATGCTGTCAGATGTTCACCTGTTGAAGAAGAAGTGAATCCTGGCGGTGCCAGGAGCATCCGATATCGCAGTTCCTTGAGGAGTATCTGAAAGGAAACCAAGCCGGGGCTCTCACAGCCGCGCTGGAAACTCGAGAGCTTCGCGTCGCCTGGCCAGGCTCGGCAGAACGAACGGATCCTGTCGTTTATGGCCTCGCTGCAGGTCCGAGAGCAAGTCCGGGGTGGAGGGGAGGGCGGGGCCGTTGGAGCTGCTGGAGGGTGGGGTGCTGCCGAGGGCAGCCAGGAGGAACTTCTACGCAAGCCCGACGCAAGCCATAAACCATTTTAACGTAGGGCATGTTCCTCTTTTTATTGACCTTAACCAGTACTTTAAAGCCTACACCCAACCCTAACCCCGCCTAAACGCAGGCTCTAAGCCTAAAGCAGCACACCTAGCCAACCTATACCAAAACCCTCCCATAGCCCTTGTCGACTCCAAGCCTTATACCGTGTAACCCTACACCCTAAACCCCGCTTAAGCCAAACGCTAAAACCCAAAACCCCACAACCACCCCACAGGGGGAAGCGGTGCGGGGGCCCGCGGAGCGCCTGACCATACATGGCCTCCAGGTTGCAGGTTGCAGGCGCATGCCATCTCATCCGCCCTAGAACCCTAAACCCTAAACCCTACTGGGTTGATGAGGACGTTTTCGGTTGCAGCTCGCCAGGCGGTTGGCTTGGGGCTGAACGGCTGCTGCAGGTCTACAGAGTCTATCGAAAGTAGCTTCGACGCTCCAATAGGAGGGCTCGCCTCAAGCACAAAGTGACAAAGCAGAACTGTCCGGGCCTTCCTTAAGCCCTAAACCCCAGCAGGAGGAGCAGCTTGCCAAGACGAAGGAGTTCTTGCAGACCTTGCTGCAGGCACGTGGAGTGCTCTGCGTGGGTCCAAGGGTTCTGTAAGTGGATGCGAAAGTCCCGCAGGGCGTGAGGACAGCTGGAAATGATTCAGAAGCGAAATGCCGACGAACTGTTGAGCATTACATCGAGAAACAGACTAGAATCGGCCGGCTGTGCAGCCAAAAGTGTGCACCTCATGAGCATCAGCTGACGCTGCGATGAGGCCGAAAGCCTGCTTTCCCTTAAGGCGCCCAGAGGCAAACAGTCAGCCAAGTGGTTTTCCGCCCAGTCGCTTGGCGACGGCTGTTTTTCCTCATGTGCTGAATGAAGTACGCCAAGAAGTTGCTGCTGATGTCATTGCAGTATGGGGCTCCGTGATCCAGATTTTAGAAGATTCGGCCTTGCTGCATCTGCATTCCCTTTCTATTTCTGCTACCCTTGTCGCATGTCTGTGGTAGAGGGAGGAGTTTGGCAACTGGTTTTGGCGGTCACTTGACAGCATGTCCCCCACCTTTTTGCCTCTGCATGGGAAGTTGCATGGCAAGTTTTCACGACCCTGCAAGGAAGGTGATGGTTGCTGTGGCCCACCGGACCCGGAACTAAAGTCCCCAGAAGAGCAGATCAAACGAACTTCCCTTCTCCTTTGCCACTCGTGCTTTCCTTTGCTGAAAGCCCTCATGAACCCATCTCCCGAGCCGGCAGGAAGGCTTCGTAGAACCGCCAAGCACCATGAACAGGACGAAGAGACGGAGGCGGCAGAGGAGCTCGTCGCCGAGACGAGCGTGCCACCTACTACTACAACCACGACGCCAGACATTTCTTTGGAAATGGCCGCCAGGAAGGGCGACGTGGCGGCGCTCGCAGCGTGGCGTCAGGCCCAGCTTTGAGCTTGCTTTCGCAGTAGGCAAGTGGTGATTTCTTCCGAAGGGCTGTGAGGGTGCTGTGGAAGTTCTTCGCTAAGTTACGTTTCGATTGGGGCACAGGGCGAAGTTTGAGAGCTCCTTGCCGAGGCCGGCTACAATTTGAGTTCCGTGATATCGAACACCTGGGATGGAAATACACCGGCGCACTTTGCCGCACGTGGCGGCCATGTGGAAGCGCTGAAGTTCCTCCAGGAGGCGCCTTTCTGATGAGCTTTGCTTCGGACCTCTGTTTAGGGTTAGGGTGCGCATTTTAGGGCTGCAGCTTCGGAGAATCTTCCTGTACTCGGCTGAGGGGTCAGAGCCAAACTCTTGCACCTGGGGACTGGATGGGAGAGGGTTCCTCACAATGTGGTAATCCGTGCTCTGTACTAGTGGCGGCCCCCCCCCCCTGTATTTATAAGCCCGTCTGATGAATTTGGGCGGGGGGGTCGGCCCGAAGAACCCCGCCTGCGGCGTGCAGCAGGAGTCGCGGACATGTAAAACGAACTGATACTGACCTGGTAGTAGCAGTAGTAGTGGTAGTA